CGGGAGGCTGAGGCAGGAGGATCGCTTGAGCCCAGGAGTTTGAGGTTGCTGTGAGCTAGGCTGACGCCACGGCACTCTAGCCAGGGCAACACAATGAGACTCTGTCTCAAAAAGAAAAAGAATACATTCTTAGAATATATATCATCTTGCATAGGATTTGTCTTACTTTGAGATATTAAAGGAAAAATACTAACGAATTCTTCTGAAGAAAATAGAAAATGGTATGTAAAATTAAAGTGAAAAAGAGAGAAATGTACCTTGTAACATTTACTGTTTTTTTCCTGAGTATAAGATAAGCTTTTGAATAAAAAATTGTAAGTTTTGTTCTTGCAGCATAAACTGGAGAAATTCTCTACTCTCAGCTATCCCTTCTTTTTAAGTCTAATTTTTGGGGAAAGAAATCTGAAGGAATCCTAAAAAATGTGAATCTCTTAAATGGAGGAAGAAGAGACACATCTTAATAGAGATAACTGCCTATACCAGGGACTGGTGTTATCTTACAGTCTCTTATATATGGCTTTCGATAATTCTCCAGGGAACCAGTTATTTGAGTAATCAGTTTTATGGAAGGAAGAAAACCCAAGACAAAACAAATCAAAATGGAATTGAATAACTTCTTCCAACTATCATGAACTTCTACCTGATATTTTGATTCATTCTTTCAGCAGTATTTTTTTAGTATCTGATATGTGCTTGACACTAGCAGTGAACACACAACCATCAATGAACTTACATCCTAGTATCCTTTAATTTACTTAATATTTATATTATGAAATATTTTATAATAAGAAATTAATGTATGAAGTATATATATTAAAATATATTTTAGGTTTGGTCAGTTAGGGTTTTTATAAAATGTTCCTCAACTTAATGTAACTGTAGATAAAAATGTAAATCGTTTTGTGTGGGTATGTTTGTTTCTGTATCTCTTTCCTGTGAATTTAATAGTAGGCCTCAAACGATTGAAAGTGAGAATAAAATCAGCACCAGACAAAATCCAGTATTACTAAATGTGATTTTTGTCATATTTTTTTTTAAGCAATGTTACTTTACTTACTCATGTAACTTTTCTTTAATTCTTTGCTAAATCTGCTATAAAACTCTTAACTTTGGGAATTTATTGTGGAAAGAAGTATTTGTAAATCACATTGTGTATAGTTGGCACATAGAGACAAATGTTGAAATTAGAAGGTTGTCCAACTGTGATTATTATGCATTAATGTTATTAATAGGCATTAATGTTAAATGCATATTGTAATTACTTTTGTGTCTAGTAATTACGATTTAATAGTTTTCCTAAAAATTAAAAAATCTGAATTTTTTTCCCACTATATACATGTTGCTTAGAGCTTGGAAAAATAACCCATGATTTTCTTTCAGTCTTCATTAGGTTCATCTGCTTCTTCATTCCAGTCAGTGGGTTCTTATGGACCTTTTGGCAGGATGCCCACGTACAGTCAGTTCAGTCCAAGTTCATTAGTCGGGCAGCAGTTTGGTGCTGTTGGTGTTGGTATGTTTTCTTTCTTTTCCTTTTTTTATTTTGTGTTTGTGTGTATGGGTGGATGATCTCCCTTTCTTTACTACAAAGATACAGAAAACTTACCACAAACTTCTGGAAATGTTGTTTGATGTACCTTTTGTTACTTTTTTTTATGGTGTTGAGAACACATTTTTATTATTATTTTAAAGTCTTTATTTAATGTCCTTAATGATTAGTGATTTTATAAAGGTCAGCTTTCAGAATAGTCACATTTTTTTAAAACCTAGGTATATCCAATTATCAAATTTTATTGAATGTTATTTTAAATTTATATAAGATATGTCCATTTAAAATATCTTTTCAGGGAGGATGAGTTTTTAAAAAGGGCATTGGAGGTGATGTCATTATAATTAGGGAATGATAATGCCATTAAGGAGTATTAGCAGGCACAGTGGCTCAGGCCTGTAATCCTAGCACTCTGGGAGGCCAAGGCGGGAGGATCGTTTGAGGTTGTTGTTAGCTAGGCTGACGCCACGGCACTCTAGCCTAGGCAACAGAGTGAGACTCTGTCTCACAAAAAAAAAAAAAAAATAGATTTTGAAAAATCAGTGCCCATTTCTCAACAACTAAGGATAGAAGGGAATTTACTAAATTCGATGAGTGTTATAACTGAGGAATAAAAAGCTAACATATATAATGGTGAAATAATAAACAGTTTCCCCCTGAGCTCAGGAATAAAACAAAGACAAAATTGTGTCTTACCGTTTCTGTGTAGTGTTATTCTAGAGGTCCTCACTAGTTCAATATGGTAAGAAAAAAAATAAAAGGCTTAAAGATTGGAAAGGAAGAACTAAAAATATTTTTATTTGATGATCATGATTGTGTGCATAAAAATTGCAAAAGAATATTCAAACTGCTAGAATGAATAAGTGAGTAAAATGTGGTAAGGGTATAGATAAATGGTAAATATATCAAAATCAAATGTATTTATGTACTCTAGAACAGACAGCGATTGGCAGAGTAGCCTGTGGGCCCAGTCCAGTCAGGCTCCTGTTTCTGTAAATAAAGTTTTATTGAAATACAGCTACACCCATTTGTTTACATATTATCTGTCTGTGGCTGCTTTTTCACTACAGAGGCAATGTTGAGTAGTTATGACTGAGATCACGGGGTCTGCAAAGCTTATAATATTTTATTTGCCATCTGACCACTTAAAGAAAACCTTTGCTGACACCTGACCTAGAATGGATTCTTGGGAAGTAAAATATAAAACACAACACCACTTACAATAACATCAATAAACACTAAATACCCAGGAATTAATAAAACAAAAGATATTTTAAAGCTCCTACAACAGTGTTGCTGAATGGACAGGGTGCTAATTTTACCTTCCTCCCCTAGGGGACATTTGGCAATGTCTGGAAACATTTTTGGTTGTCACAACTGGTTTCTAATAGGCAGAGGCCAGGGATGCTAGGACAACCCTCTCACAACAAAGAATTATCTGGCCCCAAAAATCTTGCTCTACAGTGAAAAAAACAAAACTGCTGAGAGAAACTAAAGGAGATCTAAATAAATAGAGAATTAATCAATGCTTATGGATTGAAAGATTTAATATTTTTCAGATGATACTTTCCCCCAAATTGACTTAAAAATTCAGCATAATCCCAATCAAAATCCCATGAGACCTTTTTAAATAGAAATTGACATGCTGATTTTAAAATTTATATGGAAATTCAAAGCCAAAGCATTTTTGAAAAGTAAAGATTGAGGTTTGTACCACCCAATTTCAGGACTTACTATAAAGCTACAGTAATCAAAACCGGATTATTGGTATAAGGAGAGAGAAACACACCAGGGGAACAGAATAGAGAATACAGAAATAGACCAGCTCAAATACTGATTTACAAAAAGGTGCCAGCGCAGTTCAACAGAAAAGGGAGCATCATTTTAACAAATGGTGTTGCAGCAGCTGTATATCTGTGTTGAAAAAATAAACCTTGACTCCTGCCTTAAACCATGTATAAAAAATAATTTGGGACAGATTATTATTGACATAAATCAGTAGCAGAATTGGGGCATGAGGAGGCAATGTGGTGTGATCAGGAACTCAGAGAAGAGATGGCTAACTGCTGAACACGTGATACAGGGTGCGAACAATAGGAGGTTAAGTCAGGTGAGAAAGCACAGCAGCGTAGAAGTATGAATGTACAGCGTCAAAGTGGCTTAAGTCTTGGTCATTGTCCAGGAATACTAGAGATAAAGGGGTAGGCTCAGCTTCCCACAGAACTATCGAAAGCACTAATCCCAACATTTCTGAGGATGTTGTGGGAGGTTCTGTTAGGCCTCTCCTGGGCTTGCTGGAGCTGCAGCCTGACTGGATTGCGTCTCTGAGCCTGACCCAGTGGCTCCCAGTGTCTGGGATACTGTGCTGTGTTCTGGTGCCACATTTTAACAGGAACATTAGTAAATAGAATTCATTAAATTAGGAGGAATCCAGAAGAGGAAGAGGGGAATGTGTCTTAAAGACCATGTAAAACGAGTAATGGTTGAAGGAATCTGGAGTTTCCTAGTCTGGAAATGAGCAGATTGCAAGGGACATGATCATAATCTTTGTATGTTTTGAGAGAAGAGGGTAAACTGCTGTGGTCTAAACTGGTGAAAATTAGAGAAGTGATGAGAGAAGAGATAGGCAGATAAGGGGAGGACTTTATAAACTGAGGAGAGTAGTTTGAACTTGTATCTTGACAGTGGAAGCCATTGGAAGGCCTTAAGCACTGTAGTAATGTGATTATATTTATATTTTATGAAAGATTATTCTATCATCTTTAGATTGGATTTAGAGGTTGGGGAGGAGGGGCTGTTGAAATATAGAGAAAACCTATGCATGAAATAATGAGAAAGAAAAGAGCACAGGATATCAGGATATGAAAGTGAATGATCTATAAGTACTATAGAAACTTAGAGAATTGACATGATGCAGTACAGCAGAGAATTGGACTGTTTCTAGGGATTTTATTACTCATGTTAGAACTTTTTGCAGCTGCTTTAGGCAGAATGCAGCCCCACAATCCCATCTTAAGGGAAAGCACTGAAACTAGATGTTGCCTTGGAAATGCTGAAAAAGCTCCTAGTAGACCTGTGTGCTG